AGCGGTGGGTAGCCGGTTGAGTTCCGCGGATCCACGCTGGCAGACACACCCGCGCGTGGGTGCGTGGGTCTGGGGAAGTTAACCGACCACAGACGCAGAAGAGGTGACTTTACGGTCACGGAAGGGTTAAGTATAGCAGTGGTACGATGTCACAAATATATATCTAAGAATGTTGAGTGGTAGGCAAAATATTCGACCATAGGCAGGAGGAGATTCCCTGCTTCAACCGCACCGAGAGCGCTGCTGGTACTACATTACCGAAGCCACCGCTCACTCCTCAAACCCATCATAGCCGTCGGCAACCATGTTTCAACGGATGTAGTCGATAGGCACATATCGGCATAAGCCCGGTTAAGCCGACAGCTATTGAAGAAGAAAAATGAATAGATGACTCTTCTTTTGTGTCAAAGAAAGAGTGGTAGCAAAGCAATGGTCTCGGCGGCGTAGTGTTGGCACGCTCCCCGGCGTAGGTGAAATGCGGGTTCAACTCCCGCTTCGGGTCAAGTGTCTTGAATACCACTGAACATTCCTAGATTGCCATCGAGAGTAGCAAATTCGCTGCTTAATCAAATGAGGAAAACACTAAATACCTGTTTGAGAGTGCACCTCTGGGCCACCAATAGTCAAGCCAGGAAATATGTACAGCTGAAATCACAAACGTTGAGAACCGACAACCTTTCGTTGACCTCCGTAACAGTGATTACCACGAGACAGAATGAGGACTTAATCGACTAAATCTTTGACATTTCCATTTCTTTGAGGCCAATGTAGACAATCGATTCGTGTCCACTGGCTCTGATGGCACATCAACCACTTGGCATTAGCTGGATCAGAAACGAAACTACCATTGAAACTATATATATTTTTGAGAGAGGTATGACCAAGCAGCTATGATGCCCGCAGCTGCGGGCGCGGGAATGATCCCTCCTCTCCCAACACTCCCCGGCAGTCACCGTCTTAAGGAACGCTACATGCAGGCTAATCTCGAGGCTGCAAGGAGACACGTCCAACAACATTCCATGACTCAAAAGTTCGACTTTCTATAAATCTCGGCATAATCAATTGATATATGAAAATCGAGGAAAACTTATCTTGATTAGCTAACGCGAGGTTGGTAAATTAGTCGTGGAAATTCGGCTGACGTTTCGGCGACCCACATTCTTTTTTTTACTAATGTTTACTAAAATAATACATACACCCAGGCTCTGAAGAAGGCGGGTCGCCGAAACGTCAGCCGACTTTCCACGACTAATTTACCAACCGCGCGTCAGCTAATCAAGTTAATTTTCCTCGATTTTCATATATCAATATTCCATGACGTTCGGGAAGAAGATGGGAAACGAATTGAATGCTAGAAGCACTGAGAGGGATTCAGTAAAATAAGGCAAATAACAAAAAAAAATCGTCTAGAGACAACGTTGAACAAGTTCTTAAATTGAGAAAAAACCTCTTACGAGAAGAATTTCGACGCCTCCAACGAGGTACATTGATGTTGCAACGGTGTTTGCCAGATAAAACAGCAAGCCAACAGCCGAGCCAAACTCTGGGCCAAGATTCCGGGATATCATAAAGTATGCTCCCCCACTTTCCACGACACCGTTTGTAGCTACCGCCGAAATCGAGATACACGTCAAAAATGTCTGAAACAAATCGTCGAAAAGTGGCAAAAAACAACAGCAACAACGACTTAACATTTTTACTAGGCGAGCGACTAATGAGAAAGTACCTAGCTATCAGCACCACCAATTTTACTCTTTAGGAACAGAGTGTGCTCTACACTGTACCCGCGTATTTAGAGGCCTTTTTCGCTGGAGACAGCTTTCCCACCAGTAGTTTGATAGTCAATCGCTAGGCTGAGAAAACGGTTATTACAACATTGTGCTTCGTTGGTAAACATGGTAGGGATTATAAATCATCATGAATGTCAGAATAAGTATGAAAATTTGAGATTCTTTTTAGAAAGAGGAAAAAAACCGAACAAACTACCCAAATTGCGTGTCGCTAACAAATCGTCGTGTTTGCAGCGATCAACTGCCCTCCTCAAGCGCTGCCATCTATCAATAGCTCTCAGCAAATTCTCAAGTATTGTGTATTTTTTCTTGGAGCTCCCACAGAGATTAGCAAAAAGTCGAGAAAGGGCAACTGCCCGACTGACGAGATCGCAAGATCAAAACACTTGTATCGGGCTTTATAAGTCAGCCCTCATTGACAAACCACTGACATGCGTGGCTCAAATAATGATTATGAGGCATATTGTGTAGTTCAAAAAGAAGGACTCTATAGAATCACAGAGAAAAATTCGCTCTATCGTTCTTTGGATAATAGTTCTCTTATTCCTAATTTCTGTTGCTTTTAAATAAAAACAACGGGTTAATCACTACAAGTGAAACGTAATCTTTTTTTTGCCGCTACAGCGTGCTTAGAAAACATTTGGAAAAACCAAACATAGCAGTGAAATCATCGCTTTTCGAGCTATCGAATGACTATGAAAAGTCCAATAAAAAGCGTTGTCCTGCGAAAAGTCACTAAACTACTGTGTACTCTAAAGATTGTATGCTGTCCCGAAAAGGGGTAAATACTCACTGTCAACAAACCCAAATTGTAAGCTCTCAATGGCTAACTTCAGCTGACTTACACATAGACAACATAGGAAGAGAAGGACAAATGTCTGGCCGAGTCCAGCGATTCCCACTACCCAAAATAGACGAATGAACATCGTGACACCGAGAATATGTTGAATCGTTGGTAAATACACACCAAGCATTACTCCTAGATCGGCCTGAAAAAATTTTACAAAACGTTTGTTCTGCTAGTCCTGAAACTTGGGTAACAAAACATAGAGAATAAAACATCTCCGTAAAAGAAGAGATTGAATCTTACTCCAATAACTGCAATCATTCCGCTTCACAAGTAAGCAAGTACTCACAGGTCTGGCTCAGACGAAAGAATAACTAAAGTAATTTTGAGAACTTTTTTCTCACCTTCTTCTTCTGATTTTCGCTTTGCATTCGCTCGAGTGGCCCAGGTGTTGTGTGAGCTTTGAGATAACTCGAGAAGAACGGCATCGAAGGCTCCTCGAAGAGGGCCAGATTGTGATTTCCGGCCTCCTTGCCACCACCCCATGCGAATAGTTCTCCTGGAACAATTTAGTCAAAGCTCTCGTTTACGAGATTATTTGCGGAAAATAAAATAGCTTAGATCTTTTTTGCTTCCGGGCTACCTTAACCCTTTCGCTGCAGAGGCCACCTATCGGCAGGCGGGCGGCTCGTACGGCTACGAAGAGCGGCTGGTGAGAATAAAACAACTTTCATATATATCGTTTCAGTCTGAACTATCGAAACAATTGATCTTATTGGGTCGTCGGACTGTTTTCTCTTCTCTGAGGCCGCGCCAATCTTCGTAAACCGTCCAAACAGCGCGCGCGACACGTGCAGATCGATTCCGGGACATACCGTAGCGAAAGGGTTAATCCACTGGAACATACTATGGCTACTTGTTCGCGATATTGCAGAACCGCTGGGATGTGCATGATTCGACTCGAAACTGAGAGTAAAGCGTGATCCATGTTTCTGTATAGAAGTGGGAGATGTCGTAGCGATGGATGATGGTAAGAGCTCGTGAACTTCGCCTTCGCTCACGGGAGGCCCGTGTCGTCTATCGCCGCCATTGAGCATCACAGTACGTAGTACGGTTAATAAACCAGGTGATTAGCTGCTAGCTCTCTATCACCTTTCTAAACACATCAAATTACATCCGCTCAGAAAAACGCCCTAAAAACGCGTTTCCGACCTTAACACATTGGGAACCGCAGGCACACAGCTCTAGCCGCGCCCTGTCGCGCGTGCTGGCTTCGCGGCGAGCAGCCAGCAGCAACAGGTGCCCTCGCGCTGCCGTCCATTGAGAAGAAGGTTGATTGTTTGATCTCCTGACAGGACACCTCACTGTCATTTTTTTCTTCAGTGCTATTTTCTGGTGTCGACTAGTATTAAAGGTTCTTCTAAAACGTATCTATTACAGCAAAAAAAAAACGGCTAGTTGTCTGATATTTCACTATTTTTTGATACAAGACGCAGATATGGGGTAACGACAAAGAATTAACCGGCCAACTTCCGCGGACCCACGCAGGGCAAGTCCGCCAGTTTCACTCGACTTCACCTCTGCGTCAATCACTCGTTGACTACGGTACTTCTTTTGTTCAAAGGCCCGCAGCGATGTTCTGGACTAGTTTGCGTGCGGGTCTCCTAATGAAAGTAGTGTTGTAATCGACGACTAATAGAGGCAGAAGAGGCAGAATCGTTCCAAGTGTGGGTCCGCGGAAGTCAAGCAGTTGATAAATCACTAGCTTGTGTTACGGAGGGACTTTGTGATGTTTACTGTGATATAATGTGTCAGTCAATTGAGCATACTGTACCGAAAAAAATATCACTAAAAAAACCACAGTGAAACGCCATGTTTGGGGATGGAACCAGCAACCTTCTTCTCGACAGACAGCAGCACGAGTCACTCGTCTTTGCGAGCTGCTCGTCGTGGAACCGCCGCGCGCGCGACGGGATTGGGCTGGCGCTGTGGGTCTGCGGTCTTCAATGTAGTGAAACATAAGGCACACGACTGAGAAAACAAATGAATACGATTGGGAAAACTACGACTTCACAAGAGGACTGGTAGTTCCGCACAAAATGAATGTAATGATTTCGATGCATATGTTTTTGTAACGAATTCAGTAATGTACATTTAACCGGCCGACTTCCACGGACCCAACCCACGCTGGGCGTGCCCACCAGCTCCACTCGACTCAACTTCCTCTCCCACGATCAGTCATCGACTACACTACTACTTTTCGTTGCAACCCGCAGCTAGGTTCTAGACTGATTCGCGTGCGGTCTTACTACGAAAGGTAGCACCGTGGTCGACAACTAATCGGGGCAGAGGAGGCGGATTGGTTCCCATTGTGGGTCCGCGGAAGTTAACCAGTCAACCCGAGCTGACTAATATGCAAAACACGCCTCAGGCGGGAGTTGAACTCGCGCTTCAATCATACAGGGGTCGAACTCTACCACTAAACCATCGAGGCCACCGTTCTGCTACCACTCCTCGATATAAAGTATCGAAGAGGTCAGCAGTCAACCGACAACGGATATGCTATGGTAGGCACATACCGCCTTCAAATCTAGTTAAGCCACTCGAAGTCTTGACGGTTGGCTGTTGACAGCTCCCATAACTGATTCTGCAGATATAGTGGTAGCATATAGCAAGGGAATCAATAGCCCAGTGGTAGCACGCGTTCTCGGTGTGGGTGAGACGCGAATTCGATTCCCGCTTAGTCGAATGTTTTGCATACCACTCAGCATCCTTGGATTTATAATTATGTCAAAATGACACTGCTATTGCAGCGATGAAATAAATTGTTCTTACAGATTCAAATATTCAATTCTAAATAAACATAATTCGATTATAATGAATTCTATCAATATATTTGCGCCGGTATGAGTCATGTTGTGACTCACACGCACACGCCCACCTTGTGTGAGTCATATATGACTGATCGTGATTTCCTTTCGCTGCGTCAAATATTTTTTGCAATACTTTTGTATCACGGTCAGAGTCTCTGTGTAGGGGTAGTCTTATGATCAGAAAGCTATGTTTTCGCAGAAGAACGGTTTTCAAAAGCGTTGACGATAAAACGGAAAGCGTTGGTGGCGAGGTGATATCTGGAGTTTTCACAGGAATCAGTCACCAGATTATAATGGAGATAGGTATATTAGGAGATAATCAAATCATCGACTGATTCGCTAGACAAGAAGTTTTCAAAGGAGTATTAGTAGTCGTTCGAAAGCTTGAATCTCGAATTAGAGTCGTACGTGGGCCAGTTTTCGAAAAGGCCTTTTATAACGTGTAAAATCCAGAATAAAATCAGGTTCACACGATCACGCGTTTTTTTTTGTCATTTCGCTTAGATTTCGTTGGTCAAAACTCCTCGCTTAAATTGCTGGTTCATTTCAATAGCACAAGTCTCAAGAAATCAAAATGCGTTTGCTTTCTGGAAAAGCTCTTCCGATAGCGCTGAAGGAGAAAAAAAACAATTTGTGCTTTATACCTCATCATAAAGATCTTTTTCCCTAGATTATTAGTAAGCATTCGACAGCGTAGGTTTGACTGATTCCAACGCTATGTTTATCCTCTGAAGGGACGGTTCACTGCAGGGTAGCAGGGGAAATGAGATCTCGAGCTTATCTTCGCATATCCGGCGAGTTTGTTTACCGGCCAACCTATGGCGCGCTAAGGGGCGGCGCGTTCGATCGATGCCCTGACGGGTTGGACGTGGGGTGAAACTTGTCTTCAAATGGAGATTTTTTTCTACGCTTGAAAGAAACTCTACATAAAAGCGATTGAATCAGATACTTGGAGATTTCCTCTACACGCTCATATGCTTTTTGTGCTTCCAGCGAATTACACGCGTGAGGAAAATGATGGCGCGTGGCGGGTGAGAAATATAGTTTTATTCTGGATTTTACAGCGTTATAAAAGGGTGTCTCGAAAATCCACTCACGTAGAGCTGTAGCCAGAGAGTTAGGCTTCACAAAGATCATTAAGGTTCCTATGAAAAATTCTTCCCCAGCGAATGAGGTCAATTATTCATCTGTCGCCGTCTGACATATAAGGACCCAAAATTTCCCAGCGGTTGTTACAGAGATGACTCTTCCGAATGCATTTGGTACAAAATCAATGGAAATTCATAAATCTTTGTCAGCGAAGATTACTTGAGACGATGCTTTCCAAAGCTCAGGGAGATTTTTCCTCTTCGCTTATTCGTGCTAAATCACTCCTAAGTGCCAGAACCTAAGGGCTAAAATCAATTGAATCAATCAACAAAATTGATAAAATCAATAAATCAATATGTAAAAATCAATAAAATTCAGTTTTCATCACGAAAAAGCTAAAGCAGACGTAACAACTTGAATCAGACCGGGAAATTTTTGGAAAACCAACTATAATCCAATTAATTCAGATTGAAATTAAGAAATCCATCAAGAATTAGACCAATTAATCGATTAGATTGATCAGTCGATCAATAACCGATCCAACGAAGTCCAAATCAACCAAATTAATTCAATTGATTAACCAGCAGATCAACAGGCGCAATATTGCAGAAGCTTTTAGAACACTCATACAAAAGGACAGTATCCCAAAAACTCGAGGACACAAAACATCTTAGCGGTGGGGAATTGCCGCCGGCCACGAGAGCACCGACTGCCGCTTGCGGCGGCGCGTGTGGCGGAGTGGCTACAAATGGCCTGCCACCCACATACACGCGCTCGGTGGTTCGATCCCGGGCCCAAGGTCCACCAAGCCTTTCCGTCCGTCCGGGGTCGGCGAGTTGGTGTACGAGATCTGTCTAGGTGGATAGCCCCATTAACTTAACACATTGGCACGCCATCATGAGTCTTTGTATAGCGCGCCTGTGCACTGAATACACTTCACACAATGCTGCGAATGGATTTGAACGTATAGAGTGTCCCTCAGGGTTTGCGAGCGACCACGCCGAGCACCTTAACTCTTTATTCTCTCAATATCTAGCGAAGAATCAGCAGTTGCGTCGTCAGAACAAAGTCTAACTCTCCGAGAACCATATGGTACGTTTCGTACCAAGGCGCGCGACGTCAAATCTCACTCGGCTACTGTAACGGAGGAGTCACATCTCGTGGGAAGGCAGGCAGACACCCAGACATGCAGGCGCAGACATGCAGAAGCTGCCTGTCTGCAACTGCCGCACGAGCGACGACGGGACGCCGCCCGCCTACCAAAGGTGGTCCTCAAAGGGCTAAACGAAAATTTTTTTACTAGATAATCCACAATGTCATAGTGAGGCAATGAATGAACTGAATCAGAGCAAAAACATTTTCGCGTGGCCGCCAAAAGCTTGAGCCAGCTTACTCTCCAAATCCTCAAGAAAAAAAAGGTGAGATTTTGTTTTAGGGGCAAGTGGCGCAGTGAGTAAACGTACTCTGCGTCGCACACGTGGTCGATGGTTCGATCTCGCTGTCTCGGCTCATCAAGCCTTCCATCTCGCCGGGGCAGCTAAATATATATCGCTAGGCCACCGCGAGTCTTCGTAAAGGCCAGAAATGCATTAAATCACCTCCGCGATGTTCCGAACGGAGTTGAATGCTTGGCGCATCTCTCAGCGATTGATTGACTCCGAGAGCACTATGCTTTATCCAAAGTTGTTTATACAGGGGGTTAAATCTTTCCACAGCGAAATTAACACCTTAGCACTTTATGTGACACATATCACACTTTTTTGCCGTGTAGACCGCGGTACTTCTAATATTCGATGCATCTCTTGAAATTCGTCGCTTGCGTGAGAACTTCCTCTTCTTCATGAACGTCATAGAATACTGGTTGAGCACGTCTCCTTGCAGTCTCGAGGGTGGGGCGTTCGTTATTGATCGTCGGAGTGTTGGGGAAGCAATTCGCTCCGCGTCGAAATACGCCAAGCATCATCAACCACATGGCGACTGGCTTCCATTGTGACATTTAGCTGATAAAAGTCATCTGATAAATAATTGGCGTTTTTTTCCGGCTGAATAAAAATTTTGTAGCGGAAATAAAATATATGAAGATTGGCTTGATGGATTTAAAACACATACTATCCGGACTTTCGAGATTTTTGAAATTTAAACAAATAGAAGAAAATTAGTCGATTAAAATTGCAGAGACCTTGACCTCGAATGAAAGTCTGCAAGAACAGAGGTCTAAAATAAACAAGAGAAATTCCACGACTTGAGAGTATTGCAATGAGTAAAAGAGCACCATTTCGTCACAATATTTGTACACTAATAGCAAATATTCCTCATAAAATTAAGTCAATAGAAAATATCTCAGAACACTGATCTATCATATAGTTGCCGACATTTGTAGACGTTTTTCACCCCCGCTTTCCCAAAGTTTTCTTTTCTAGACGACAACTTCTTCTTACTAAAGATTTGATAATCATTCAAAAGCTCAAATTTTGGCGATTCCGAAGCTACATTATGTTTTTAAGGTCTTCTTAGTCTTCACAGTGGGCCATAGAAGAGAAAAGAATATTACGTTTCACATTCAAACTTCTCTTTGCACATAAGATTTACATCTGCACAAAAATATTTGAGCGTGTAGAGGAAATTTCGGAATTTCAGACTCATCCAGAAAACTGATAGTTTTCTTTTCCAAAACAAAGAAAAGAAATCTTTGCTAAATAAGAAAATTGAGCGCCGCTTGTGAAAGCTGATCAACAGACGTCCGCAAAGGGTTAGCGATCCAAAAACACGAGGCTTTTCTGGAGAAATTTATTCAAACAGGTGACATTCCGGTGGAATTCATCTTCCCAGAGCCTAAGAAAATAATTTTGTAGACAAGCTCATTCTTCCAGGCTCTTAAGAAGGATAAATGCGGCGACACGTCAGCTGATCAAATGAATTTTATCATGAAAACCTCGCCTTTTTGGGATCATCAAGGGTTATAAAAACCATGAACTATCAATCAATGGGAAGTAATGTTGGGCAGAAATAGGAACAAAGTTGGACAACGCCTATCATCATGATTCATCCTAAGAAAACTGAGGCGAAAACTCCGTCGAAACTATCGGCCTATTGATTGTTTGTCTATCAGTGATAAGCCTGAACAAAATGAAACAATTTCCGGTCGCATTCGACTTGCTGATAAGTGACAGCCATTCTAATCGTTGAAATCCGGCGAGCATAATCACTAGTAGCGAGAAAATAAGTTTAAGGAGATCAAGGCCTTGTATCGCAGAAAGAGTAATGGCAAAACAGGAGCCCCGGTAGTATAATTGGATAACTTTCGCTCCCGGCAAAAAAGGTAAAATGTGGGTTTAATTCCCGTCTGAGATCAAAATTTCGCATATCACCTCTCATTATTAACGGGTACGAATTTAAAGAGTTAGACAAGTCTTTTTCACATCGATGTTTAACTTCCTTAGTCGGGTTTTTCACAGCTTTCTTCAATTTCTCGATGCGGATTGCCTTTAACAGGAAAAAAAAATACAATTTTTCCAAGACCGGCAATCTATTT